GCGCCTGTAGTCCCAGCTACTCGGGAGGCTGAGGCAGGAGAATCACTTGAACCTGGGAGGCGGAGGTTGCAGTGAGCTGAGATCATGCTACTATACTCCAGCCCGGGTGACAGAGCGAGATTCCATCTCAAAAAAAAGAAAAAAGAAAGTACTCAGTAAGGGGTGATTATGCAATGAAACTTATATGCAAAAGAGACATTTATTGCAGTATAAATAATGCATTAAATTGACAAAGACTACCAAATACGAATACTAAGGCAATGCTCGGTATTTTAGAAATAACTTATTATTTCAGTCATGTGACTCTTTGTTGAGGAGAATGACAATCCCATATTGCTCTGGGGAACAGTCCAGTGCCAGGCAAGCTCACCCACACCCCAAAGTTCATGGCTTAAGTCCTTCATTGCAGTACCCTTTTAAACTTGGAGAGCCAAGTTGAGAGTAGGGAGGGGAGCTGTTCTTTCCTCTCTGACATTACTCTGGGTGCCACTGCTAATGTGACTCACAGGTTTGGCATAGAGAGCCAAGAGCTTTTGAAGAAAATGCACTGACTTAAAGATATTTACCAGTTAAATTACATTTCAGGGATAGAACATTCCAATCACTTTTTCCCCTGGTACTTCGATACTTAACTTAAAAATGTTTTCAATATTTAAACACACCAAGAAGTGATATAGTGGTAAGAAGTACCGGCTCTAGAATGGGACTGCCAGGGTGTAAATCCTAGAGCCAGATCTTGCTAGCCGTGTGATATGACCTTGGGCAAGTTGATTAACCTCTCGGACCTCCATGTCCTCATCAGTAAATTGGAAATAATTGTTTGCCTGTAACTTGAAGTCTAGATGAATTAATACATGTCTAGCATTTAACAGATAAGCACTATATAAACATTACTTATTACCTGGTTGTCAGGACGTCTTATATAATAGAAAGAATGGCATTTTGGGATTTGACATTACTGGATTTAAAAGGAACATGTTTTTATCCTAATGTGCTTGGAGAAATTTTAGAGCATAACGTGTGCAGTTTGGACTGGATAAACTAACCACCCTTACTTCTGCACTCTTCTAGGAGCTGGCCCTCTTCGACCAATTCCGAGAGTGGCCTGATGGCTATGTGCGCTTCATCTACAGCAGTGATGAGAAGAAGGCTCAGCGTCACCTGAGCGGCTGGGCCATGCGCAACACCAACAACCACAATGGCCACATCCTCAAGAAGTCGTGCCTGGGTGTGGTGGTGTGTGCACAGGCCTGCGCCCTGCCCGACGGTTCCCGCCTGCAGCTGCGGCCAGCCATCTGCGACAAGGCACGGCTGAAACAGCAGAGTGAGGACGCGGGGCCAGGGAGAGGGTGACCTTGGAGTCATGAGCTTTTTGTTGTTGTTGTTTTTGTTTGTTTGTTTGAGATGGAGTCTCACTCTGTTGCTCAGGCTGGAGTGCAATGGCGCGATCTCAGCTCACTGCAACTGC